CAATAGGCCTTTGAGGTCCTGCGGCATTCTATAGTCAGTGCCTTGCCCATATTCAGAACTCTGGATCTAAGCTGTTTTTCTCTATGAGAAAAATGAATGGCATTTTTGAAGATTGCTGCCATGTGTTAAACAAAGATATTCTAAAGTTGACAGGTTTTTTGTGTGTATATTTTTCCCATGAGTGTCACTGAATCCTCTGGATTATGAGGTTGTTTAGTAGTCAAGACGAGCACAATGCTAAGACCATGCTACTTGCAAGCTAACACTCCTGCGCAATTAAATGACGCTGCATGAAAGTAAGCCCACTGTTAAACTTCAATATTATATACCCAAACCAGCCATTCACTGTTAATATTCACATAACTTATCTACCACTGACAAATCTTATCACAATATTTTACTTACAATATTTTGTTGAAGTTGCCAGATTTATGAAGGAAGTCATATTTCAGCTGATTAATGATTTCATAATTCAGAGGACTCAGCAATGTTCAGCAGAAAAAACAAAATATAAAATACAAAAATATATCAGCTTTGTAAACCTTTGTTTACCACAGAGCATGACAGCAGCAATTTTTAAACTTTACTTTTCTCTTAAAGAAACTAATATGGGCGTAAAGCCAGTCACAGAATGACAACATGACTTGAGAGGTCTATGAAAAGGTCACAATTCTGCTGCAAGACTGGATTTAGCTACACTTGTGGTCTGTATGCTGAGTGCAGAGTGCTGTGCAGAACAGAAAAAGCCTCAAAATCCAAAACACAAAAAAAAGCCTGCAAAACTTGGTGGGTCAAACATATGATGGGTAAGATGTGCTCTACAATGCACCTTTGGTCATTCTGCCCCAGAAATGCTACATCTCACACTGTGCCTTTAGACCCAGTGATACACAGCAAGACACACACACACACTCTCATGGGCAAGGGAAGGTTTGTGGCTAAAAGTGTAGTTTGTGTCATTTTGACATGTTGTACTCACACCTGCTACACCTTACACAGTCAGAAAAAAAGGTACTGAACAGGTACAAATAAGTCCCCCACAGTACAAAACAGCATACATCTACCCTTAAAGGTACAAAACAGCCCTTAAAGAGGAATTCCACCAATTTTTCAAAATTTCTGCATCATTTAATCATTAATACCTAAACAAAGACATTGTGTGAAGTGCTCTGTTCTAGAGAAAGCAAATCAGAAGAGTTTTTGGTGATAGAAGAGTTTTTGGTGATAGAAACCAGATGTCTAAAGAGTTTAATGCCTCTAAAAGCTACATCACAGAAAGCCATTTCATGAAATGGTTATGAGAAGAGTGTCTGATGCCTGCGACATTGTTTTACAATAGTTTTGAGAATGTCTTGCCTGAAACCTATTTTATTATATATTTTCATGGCAGAGGGGTGTGATTGTGATGTAGGGGGTCATTAGGCAAAATAGTCCCCAAAGAAAACATATTTTCTTTGAATTTACCATAACTTTACCATCATCAGCATTACATTTAAAACTGAGAAGATGGGTGTAGGTCCAGTGGTCATTCTGAATAATAAATAAAATTGCTTTATTTGTGTTGTGGACATTGTGACCCCTGGTTCCTATCAGCACCACTGTAAAGAAATCTAAGTCGATAGGTTTCTTTACAATAAACCATTTCATATCAAACCACTCTGAATGATTCATGTACCTACATTTTAAAAGTACACTACATTCAATTTTCCTGGGAAAAATGACGTTTATGTTTTCAGAGCTGTTTTGAAACAGAAACATTAAAGGAAAAGCCTGGAGTCAGTATATGTAACTTAATGTAACTTAAGAAAATACTTCCAACAGAATGTGGTGTATTTGAGAACCATCCAAGCAACTTAAGGGCACCACCCTAGTGACAGTGTACTACCTTTTTCTGAGAGTATGGACTGAGCCTTTGCTAGGGAGCAGAGAGAGCTCTCTCTCTCATCTCCAGTCTCACATCTGATGGATCATTCATTTGCATATCACTCTGTTACAGCAGAAGTAATAATACATATGTTCATCATAAGAAAGCAGACCACCGATGTCTGTGGGTACAGTGAGGTGGCCAAGGAGACTTTTTGTGTTCTTCTGAGAAACTCGTACTTTCCCATTAACTGTGTCACAATCACAAGTTCAGAAAGTCAGTTTGCTTTAGAGTGTAAAAAAGACTGTCAAAATGCTTTTTGCACATAGCAAAAATGGCTCCTCAACTGTTTAGCTGATGCATGAGTGCTTAAGGCCATAACTCAGTCCTACTGAGAGGTACATCTGCCTGTTTCCAGTGTGAGGAGATGAGAGTTAGCTGCCGGCATAGCATGAACACTTAGCTGAAAATGAACTCACTTGGTTAAAAATGAAAGTTATTTAGTGAGCTTTCCTCATTTAAACCTCCTATTTCAGATCATGCTAACACCACATGAAAGCAGCATAGAACTGAGGACGTGTTGTCATTTTGTAGTTCCTTATTAGCACCTGTACAAATACCTGGTCTACACTATTTTTGTCTACGGAGAACATATGTATGGCTTTTTTAACAGTCATCCTTATTGTGGTCTACAATTAACCTAATGAGTTCCAAAGCCTATATACTTTGTCCCAGGTCCATTTGTTGGCCCACATATCACTGTGTCATTTGAAAAAGGCAGTTGAAATAGTTGAAATGCAAGGCAGCATCATGTGGCATTAAATGCGTCATGTAGCATTAAAGCACAACCTCTTGAACACTGACTTCAAGACTGGCAACCTCACTAAAAGATCCAGAACAAACCAACAAGCTTTGTGACGTATGTCAGTCAATAGACTTTTTGCAGTGTTGTTTATCATTCTTATTCTCCCCAGATCAGCCTCAACTTCTACCTCCTCCCCAGACATCTCACTCATGATCTTATGATTTACTTGCGAAACCCACAAAATCCCATCTACTGAGTGACAGGACTGTACAATGTGCCAAAAAACTGTCACATAGCCCCTGGACATTTCACAATGACAGCAGCAGGCTAGAAAACTACTAAAATAACCACAGAATGAACTTAGTAGCCTCTCAAACTTGGCCCCAATAATAAGGAGAGGCAGTGAGCGAGGCCCGGGGTCACTAGTCGTGTTTCACTCATCGGTTTTAATCAGAGGCCATTCAGCGTGAGGCCAGCTGGATCATTATCGGAGGAGAGCCAGCCGGATTCGTCAATGTAGGCAGGCTGAGAGGTTGAATGAGAAACGGGATATAGTCGGATCTCAGATGAGAGGCTCAGTCTCAGTAGAGTCTTTAAAGTGTTTATGACATCCTGTCTAACTCCCTCCCGTTCTCTGTGATGCCCCAAGAGCAGCGGTCAAATGAACAGAACAGCCATAACCATTAAAAACTGAACAAAAATAATGCATTTAATTAACACCATTCAAATGTGTACATTGGTACCACATGAGTAAAATAAATATGTCCAAAAGCTACTTTAAGGTGCACCCAATGCTGGCATGGGCATTTAATATTGCACAGACAGCCTGTATAATATCCACAGGACATAGAATGGAATACTCTGGAGCATGTGCACATGAGCCTAAGGCCACCATTGCCAAATGCTAGCTAAAGGGGTATCACTCCCCTACAGCAGTGGGCTGTGGAGCAGTGGAATTGTGAGGGATGGAGCTCCATCTGATACCTTTGGGATGAGTTGGAGTGTCATTTGTTATCCTGACATACTCATCTTACATCAGCACCTGACCTCACCCATGCTCTTGTGGCTGAATGCAATCAAATCCTCACAACAATGTTCCAACATCTAGTGCAAAGCCATTCCAGAAGTGTACCAGGAACAGTGCTGTTACGGCAGCAAAGGGGGGACAAACTCCCAATTAGTATGCTTGATTTCAGAAGAAACATTGAATGTGCAGGTGTTTGGACACATAGTGTATATTACATCAACACCTAAAGTGAACTGAACGACAAAGATCATGCTGACGTGCAAATTAAGTACATTCAATGCATAACTGGATAGAAGCACTGACAAACTGAGTTAGGAGCAGCAAAAACACACACTTCACACCCATACACAGCTAAGACATGTACAAAGCTTTGCTCTAGAGGTCTGTAGTAGAGCATGTGAAGCACTTTCCTTACTGTGAGCTGTGATAAGGCTCTGACCTGCTGTAGCCTATGCTCAGCAGCAGTTTACCCATACACTCCAACAAGCCATTTACCCCTACCTCAGAGAGGAAACGGAACTGGCAATTATTTTCTGCCCACAGTATCAGGGCGATGATATAAGTCGTGATTTTGAAGGAGTGGAGTCAATCAGTCAGCCAGTGAACCAATCAATAAATCAACAGGGAAATAAATAAATAAATAAATAAATAGCACTGTGAAACAGACAGAACTTTTAACTAGTAGAATGAGGTAAGGGGAAGGACCACCACATAACTGCTGAGGGGCCATTTTTACCCGTCCTACCTTCTTTATCCTTTGTTCATCACTAGTAGTAGTATGTAAAAGTAGCTGCTACTCTAACAGTACCTGTAGTGCTAGTATTTAACCATTTAAAACAAATGTTAATAAATTACATGAACATTTACTCAAGAATTATTTTTCTACTTTAATTCTGTGGATCGAGAGAGAGTGAGAGAGAGAGAGAGAAAGAGAGAGAGAGAGAGAATGAGAGTTCTTTGGGATAAAGACAGTAGTAGTAGCAGAAGTAGCTCTACTATTTATCAATTTATAATGATTCATGAAGTTAATTAATGAATTGTTTTACTTATGTACGAATTATTTTTTTTATTTCTATCCGTTTATTCTTATTATTTGATTATAATTTGATGAAATAACTGCTCAAAAAGAGAAAGAGAGAGTTCTCTTTCCCAGTTGTGTCAGTTATTCACACTGAAATCCCTCTCGGTCAGTCATCACGCCGCCGTCGGTCGCGTGCCACACCGCGGTCACTCTAATTAACTCTCTAATCGCGTGATCTCGCGCAGCTTTTCGCCCTGTAATCGCGTTTAACAGCAGGACTTACGTGTGCGGCTGCGCGCGGTGGGGCCGGGGGTCTACTCCGTGCTCTGCGTAGTGGTTCTCGTGGTTCTCATGGCCGCTGGAGCAGCGCTGTCCGTGGTGCTGAGGCGCGTCCCCGCGCTTCGGGGCGCTCTGCCTCGGGCGGAACAGAGAGCCCGCGTCCACGAGGCGCCAGGGGAAGCTGGGCGCGTGCCCGCAGCCGCAGAGTGCGTGCGCGCTGTGAAAGAGCGGCGCTGACGCTCGCCGCGCCGGAGCACAGAGGTGGAGCTGGAGAGGGTGTGAGGAAGGGTCTCCGGTTGGCCCGGGCGCGAGAGGCGGGGACGCGGAGGCAGGGAGCTGCTCGCGCTCTCCCAGGTCTCTCTCGGGCTGTTCGTCAGACATCGGGGGAGATCGGCATCGGCATCTAGAAGACGAAGCGGCGCGCGGGGACTCGAGCGCAGGCAGAAGAACACAGAGGCGCGCGCAACAAGTAGGAGAGGAAAGTTGTGCTGAGACGAAAGCGCTAGCGACACGATCTCGAACGCAGGCGCGCGCGCACATGCACACACTTGCACGTGCACACACACGCATACGGATCAAATCGACACGAAACACAAAGGGGAGAGGGGAACCACGGGGGAGCGCGCGTGAAACGCGTGCACAGGTTTTCTATGATCTCAGTTAGACATACAGAAATATTAAAGGAAGATGAAGCAGCCTGTTACTGTCTTAATTAATTACATAAAACTTTCCTTAAAGGGGAATTCCACCATTTTCTCAAAATTTGAGCGTAATTCATTCACTGTGATGTACACAAAGCCATTGAGAGAGGTTTGATGTAAAATGGTTCATTGTAGAGAAACTTGCTGACTCAGGGGTTACAATGTCTACAGCACAAATGTGTCCATTTTATTTACTACCCAAAACCACCAGTGAACCTACACCTGTCTTTATATGTAATGTTGATCATGATATTTTGCCTTGAAACGCCCTGCATGTACCTCTTCACCAGGAACAGATTAAAAAATAAAGGCATTTTGGCATAAAATGTGCTTTTTTAATATATCCATTCATCTCAGACACCAGACAGCATGCTCATATCCATTTAAAGAGGAATTCCTCTAATTTTTCACATTTTCTCCAAAATTCAATAATTGAGATGTAAACAAAGTTATTCTTTAAAGTGGTGGTCATAAGAACCAGAGATCTACAACACAAATATAACCATTTTATTTATTAAATTGAATTAAATATTTATAAAATCACCTGTGACCTAGTCTAAAGTTTGTGTGTAATGTTGCTAATTGTAAAATAGTAGTAAATCTGAAAATCTCTCTTTGGAGACCATTTTGTCTCACAACACTTTGCAAGTTTCCTGTTAGAGGCAGATGCATTTTTCGTTCATCAAGGTACAAACAATGTAAATGTAGCCTCAAAGGCACAACAGTGGTTTTAAGGTCCAATTGTTTTCCTTAAATAAGTTGTTTCCCAGGTGAAAAGTACATATTTGTACATAACCTAATGTTTTAAAACAGAACAATAAAATAAAAAGCCTGGAGATGAGACGGGGTGTGTGGAGTCAATACAACTTAGAACGTATAATTTCAATGGACTGTGATACAATTACGTTCCCTGACTAAAGGTACTGAGATGTACCCTTGAGGGTACCACCCCAGTGACAAGAGGGGTCCTGCCGCAGTGACAATTCCATACATTTTCTTTCTGAGAGTGTATATCTCTACCATGAATGTGTTTTAAAAAGATGTTTTAGGCCAGAGTCTCATCACAAAGTTATAGTAAAACAATGTCTCCAGCATCATTGAGCGTTTTTACAATCATTACATGTAATATCTTTCAGTGAGGTTTCATTTAGAGCATTAAACACTTCAGACGTCTGGTTCCTATCACCACCGCTGTAAACAATTCTGACTTGGTAAGTTACTCTAGAACAGTACTTTCCATCATACCACTCTGTGTGATTCGGTCAACATCTTAGCCATTTAATAATGCAGAAATTTTAAAATATGAATGGAATTCCCCTTCAAGATGTGAAAGCACCCTACTGTCTCAAATAATAGTATTCACCTCGAGAATTACGTCAGCAAAACCTGCAAGAAAACTGATGTGATTGTGAGATTTTTGTGAGCAGTAAAGTGTAAGGTGCCAGCTGGGGATGTTTGTGAAAGAGGCTGTTACTCTGTTAGATAAAACAAATGCTCTGATAACGTTGATGTTTACTACCTGCCAGCAGTGGCGTCATGCTAAAACCTGGACAGCCTTATTAAGAACCCAGCAGATCTTATCAGTATGTACGTGTCCGCATAAATGAGCAGAGCAAACCAAGGCCCTGATCTGAACTCCACTTGGTGTCAAGGCTATGTAGCTACAAAAGAGCTGAGACTCACCATGCAGTACATGAGAGCATGAGATATTAACCACACACTATAACCCTGCACAGCATCATGCAGCTCTGAGAAACTACACAGAGCAGTGTCTAATCAATTCATCAAGTTTTTTCTTAAGTTTGTTCTTGAGAAAGCTCCTAAGAAAACATCTATGTCAGATTCATGACATGTTCTTAAACCACATAATTGTTTTCACCTTTCAGTTCAAGTGTGTATAGATGTGTGATTGGGTTTTAAGAAGAAATTTCTCCTTAAGAACAGTTGGTGAGGTCCATTATTTATGATGTTTTTTTGTGTGAACTCTCTCTCTATCTCTCTCATGCTGGTCTCAGTAGGAGGTGAAATCAGGATCAAGCAGTGCACAGAGAGAGAGAGAGAGAGGAGAGAGAGAGAAAGGAAGAGAGAGAACTGTCATCTGGCCTTCATCGATGATGGGTTTGGAAAGGGTTAAATGAACACACATAAAATCACACATAAAATCACGCAAATGCTTACTGCCCAGATAAACAGCTTTTTAAATGTACCTTTCTCAGGTGTCTAAAACATTTGCACAGTACTGCATGCATACTCTTGAAAAAGATGGTTCTTGTATGAATCATGTACACTCAAAAGTACCATTTGCATGCTTAAAGGATTCTTTGCATTGTGAAATAATTCCTCAGATTGACAGATAATATGTTGTATACTACGCTATATAGAACCATCTTTATTGTTATTATTAAAATAAGGAAACATCCATATAAAATGAAAACAGTTTGGCAGGTGGTGATTCAATTTCAGATACAAGCTGAAGATGAAGGGGAAACCTGTCACCAACATGGTAGCCATCTTAGATTCAACTTCAGTTTTACAAATGGGAAGATAGGTGTGTGACACATCAAACTGGTAGAAAATTTCACCAGAAAAAGAGCGGAGAACGTCAATAAACCGAAAGCTGGACGGCCAAAAACAACAGTAACCGCTGTTCTGGCCTCATTCGGCAAGAACCCAAACCATAGAACCTATCATCTGTCTCTGAAATGGGAGGTTAGCCGTGCCTCAGTTCAGCAAATTCTGTCTCCCCATAAGTGGCACCCTTACAAAATTCAGAGGTTGCAGTACATAATCAAGGACGACCCAGACCATGGGATAGAATTTGCAGAATAGGTGAAAAAGCAACGACAGATAAACCTTCATTTTCCCTATCAGGTGCTGTTCAGTGATGAAGCCAACTGCTTTGTGAATGGTGAGGTCAACAAACAGAATCACAGATACTGGTCGGACGCAAACCTTTGCTGGACTGATCCATCTAACACGGATGCCTCCCCTAAAATTACGGTATGGTGTACTGTGGGACCTTTCTTCACTGACAGAACATTAAGTGCAAGGTTGTTAGATGAAGACGTGTTTCCTTCCTTGTTGTCAGAGGATGAAACATTTCCTGAATCCTTCCAACAAGATGCGCCCGCCTCTACAGACGCATTGTCAAAGACTATCTTGATGTGCAGTTTCCCCAAAAGTGGACTGGTTGTAGCAGTCCAATCTATATATATATATATATATATATGTGTGTGTATATATATATATATATATGTGTCTAAATCTGTTGAGCAGTTTTAGAACTTTCCTACTCATTTATAGAGGAGAGGACATGCCATCAGACTCATCCATGTGAAAACTGTGATTACTTCAAATCTTGGATATTCTGTTCTTTTCAGTCTTATTTTTGTTACATTTTTTGAAATAGATTTTTATTTAAATAAATTAATGTAAGGTATTAAAAGGTATGGCCTAATGTGGGATCTTCAATACATAGATACATAGGTCTGCTACCTTAGTTTAGTACAAGACTAAAATTCTCTAAAATTGTCATTTTGGCAACTTAACATCATGAAAAAATGATTTAACATATAAAATGATTATGTGACTGCATATATCCTTTGTAAAAAAAATCCATATTCATAATGCTGTATTGATGAAGCCCAAAGCTCCAGTCATGTGTGATGAGACAGATATCTTCAGTGACTATTTATGGATTCAAGAGATTCACTAATCAATTCTGATTGGACCATACAGGCATCACTCAAAGCCAAATGGTCCTATTAAACTGTCAAGTGTTTGAATTATGATTGACAGGTTTATGCAAATTTCACTGCCCCGCCCTTCTATTGTAATCTTTTTTAATTATGACTGTCAGGCAGTGCTGTTTGCCAATATGCCTGCAATACTACCGTGTACATTTCTGTGTGACTGTATATGAATGGGTGAAGAATTCAATATTCAAGTCACAAGTCGCATGCAAGCGTTAAAAGAACAAAGGGAACTCAAGGTCAGGTCAGAGGTCATGCAGAATCACAAATGACACTCCATGTCAATAACACACACATGCACTGAATCAGATACGCACCCACCATGATCTGTCTTACAATTTCACAGCTGTAAGGTGATTGTTTATTCGCATTCATGAGAGCGTAAAGGTGTAGTGAAAAGAGAAATGAAGACAGTGAGAGAGAAATACCCTGAGGGAGAAATCAGCTACCTCTCACCCCCAAAACCAATGAGAAAAACAGAATAAACAAACAAGAGCTGATGAAGGAAAGAGGTGAATGGAGTGAGAGAACATGCATTCTGACAGAATGATTAGCCTCTGCCCTGCTGAGCAGGAAGTCAATATGCATTACACATGCTCTTGTATTATGGGCTGCATCTACTTCTGCACTGTTTATGCATTTACCTTTAAGGGTGGGCAATATGGCAAAATTATAACATACATATCACAAGATATATAACACACAATATCTATCTCAATATCCAGCTTCCCCGACTATTTGGAATAGGCAAAATGTAGCAGCAAAAGAGTAATGCCACATTTAAAAGGCTAGGATAAAGTATGTCTTTTTTTTTATTCCAAAAAATTAAACTATTTAAAAATAATATTTAACAATAGAAAAAATATTTTTACCATCAAAAATTTAATACATAAACTGTATTTTAACACTGCCATTATTAACTTGAATA